TAGGGAAAATTATCTACTTTTGAATGCTTTAGCTTGGATGCACATATCGTATAGATTTGCCTCTCTCCCTTTGTATTCTTTTCTTCACTTGGTTTCGAGCACTAATTTCTCCTTATCTGTTGAGGAGATTGCTAAATTTTTTGCCTCCTTGATGTTTGCCTCAATTTTTTGGGACCTTCTATGTAGTCTAAATTATTGATGGCTGAAGATCTTTGTTTTTGCCTTTTTCTTTTTTTGGGTTTCCTCTCTCATGTGTCAATTTTTGTGTTGGTTGGCGAGGCCGCCATTATTTTCCATTATTTTTATGTTCGGGGGTTGTTGGACCTATGAGCTTTGTCAGTCCATCGCTATGTCTTTGTTGATATAGACTTCTTTCCTTATAGTGGTTCTGACTACTAATCTTGGGGATTTTGTGTCACAGTGTTTGGTGGTTGTAACATATCAATATATATTCACTGTAATTATGTTGATATCAAGAGGATCTGCAAGCCTCTTGCCTTTGCCTTCTACCATGTATGACTGTTGTCACATATTTTCTATATTTGAGGTATGCTCAATGACCGAAAAAATCATACGTTTTTTGCCCATTCTTATGTCTAGCTTTTATTACAGTTAAGATTTTACCTCGATGGGATCCCTCTTCATTGGTTGGCACGTTAACTTTTTGCCTTGAAATGTCATCTTCATCCATTTCATCAGTTAAATGGTCATTTTGTTTTGACTGATTTGAGATTGGCCTTCATGGTTTTGCTTCTTGGTCGATTAATATGTCTTCATTGTATCATATTGTGCCATGACATATTTTTCTTGTTCTTATCTCAAGAGAATGTTGTTTTTTGTCATAGTTAGGAAGGGAGATGATATCTTCTTCAGCATTTTTCTTACGGAGGGTCCTAGCCTTATTTCTTCTTGTCCCTCACCCTGGCTTCCTTGTTGAGATCACAAGGCATCATACCTCCCTGCTGCAAAAGGAGGAAGGCAAACAGGTTGGCAGCTGGGCAAAAAACTATTGTGTTGATCCATTGGAGTTTTTACTTTTTCTCTTGGATTGATGCCTCTTCAGAGAGTGAGATAGGAGTGAAGATAGAGTCATATAGTGGATTGGCCACCACAGCATTTAGCCGTTTCCATTGAGTGGGAAGAGTTGTTTATTTAGTCCAAGCATGCTTTCTCAACAGTGGTTTGGCCAAGTCGGCACTGCCCCACTTTCATTTAAGTGAACTTAATTGCCTCCCTTAAATTGGAGTACAATTCCCAATGATGATTTTTGTTGTACCTATCTTCTGCCAAATTGGATGATTAGTGTGAATTGCAGGAGCTTCATAGTTACACTTGAGAAAGCTTCATCGTAATTACCTTGTTAGACATTGTTTGTTTATTTATTTATTTTTTCATACAAATGTATGCAAGAGTAACTAAGATAGTTTGGAAACAAGTGTGCTTCTATATGAAGAGTCTATTACTTTTGAAACAAATAATTCAACTTAATTGAATGGGTGGAGGATATGCCCTAAGATGAAGGTAAAGAAATTTATTAAACTTTAGTGACTGGTAATTTACCGGCTTCAAAAGGCAATCATGCACTTATGCTGTGGTTCAATTTCTTTTTTCTTTTTTTTGGAGTTACAAAAAAGACTATTGAGCAACATGGAGTTGGGAAGGAAGACTACTTAAATTTTCTAAAGTTTCCCCTAGACAACAATTCGAGTATTTGAGGTTTATATTAGCATTAGGGGATTCTGATTTCTACTAGTTGTAAGCCCTTATCTTTAAGTACATATCATATGTGAGATATTTTATCGCGAATCAAAGTGACAAAATAGTTCCCTGACTATTTACAAGGGCCCATTTTAGTCCCAAGGTCTATGAAAGTGCTAAATTAGTCCCCATATTCTTTAAATTAGGGTTGAAATAGTCCTCATGGAGAACTATTTGAGCCCCAATTTAAAGAATATGAGGACTAATTTGACACTTCTATAAACATTGGGGCTAAAACGGTCCCATGTAAAATTCAGGTGACTATTTTGGCAGTTTGCTCTAGCCTGTGAAATGAAAATGGCCATGAGCGGGGAACTTTAAAGCACAATAAATTATATAAGCAAGTCTTTTAATGAGAGTGGTAAGTCTCCAAACTTTTTCTAACATACATTAGGTGTCCAGGTCATTAGCTCTAATACTAAATGATATAGATGTAGGGTGGGCTATCTATGACAACATAAAGATGGCATGAATAGAGAAGTCGATAGATACTATTCATAAGAAGAATATGAAAGAATACAATGATAACTTTGATGGAAGATTTTACGGAAGTCTCCCTGATGGAGAGAATCACAGAGCTCCACCTTTTACACTGCATACAAAAACACTCTAATTTAAATCAACCAGGTCTATTTTTTGCTACAAAATTATTGCATATTTGTAGCATCTCCATCACACACATTCATGAAATGAAAAAATGCATAAATTCTTTGTATAGGATGGCCACTTCTTTGTTCCATGGACTCCCGACTCATTCTTTGCTTCATTACTTGGTTCTCTTCTCACAATTTCTCAGTAAGTAAAATATGACCGACTAACCTATTCAGAAAGGGTGTGGAGCCATGCAATTATCTATATGATGTTCAAAATTACCCCTCCTTTAAGAAATGTAACATATTTGATGGTGCTGTTTTCTTTTCATAAATAGATTTTTCATGTATTTATTTTATTGATGATGATAATTAACTCTCAACTTGTGATTATAATGTTGATGATGGCAACATAATACTTTTTAGTTCAGGAAAATTTTCATACATGAATAATTTCCATTTTTGCAAGGAATTACCCTACTTTTTTTCCATTGCGATCATATAGATTTAGAGATGGAAGCAGCATACGTGGTTTTTAGTAGGTTTAAACTTCCATTGATTTCGTTGATTGCAGGAATTTGAGGGATTGTTGGAATAAGTTGATTGCAGGAATTTGAACGACTTAGATATCTTGGGTCCGTTGTTCAAAGCGATGGTGATATAGATGGGGATGTTAATAGTAGAATTCAAGTTGGTTGGTTGAAGTGGAGGAATGCTTCGGGCTTTTTGTGTGGTACAAAAGTACCGCTTAGACTAAAAGGAAAATTTTATAAGACGGTGGTGAGACCTGCAATGCTATATGGCGCTGAATGTTGGCCTTTAAAAGAGAAGCATAATAATAAGTCAAGTGTTGCCGAGATGAGAATGATTAGGTGGATGAGTGGCTTTACACTTAGAGACAAAATGCGAAATGAATATATCCGTGATAGGGTTGGTGTAGCTCCTGTGACTGATGATCCAATTAGGAGAGTAGATGTTTTAGATTCGACTTGTGTTAAGAAAGGCAGAGGTAGACCTAGGAAAACTTGGGCTTATCATATTAAAAATGATCTTAATTTACTAGAACTAAATGAAAATATGACACTAAATAGGACGCAATGGAGAAAAAGGATTCATTTAGCCGACCCCACGTAGTGGGATTAAGGCTTTGTTGTTGTTGTTGTTGTTGTTGTTGTGTTGGAATAAGTTGATTTCTATATTTCAGACGTCTGTTTGCCTACTAATAAGCTAACCTGACAGAGTTGTATGCCAATCCATACCTGCAATAGACAAACTTTAAATACAACTTTGAAGGCTAAAACAACCAAATTAATGTTTTGAAATATATAGATTCAAATCACATAGTTCCTTTCTATCCTGCATTCTTTGTGGTTTGCACGACTGTCAACTTTAGTGCTTGGAGTCGGAGACATAGGAGTATGACTCACCTGTACTCTTAGGAATGATGTTTACTTCCATAATTTGTTTCAGTTTATTGCTTAGTGATCTTGTATTATATTAGCCACTAGAATGCTTTTTAATAATATTTGACACCTTTCCTTATGCTCTTCTGTACATTTTATAACTTCTAAGAAACGTTAAGCTATGCCTGTCTTAACAGGTCTGCGCATGTCTCATTTCAATGATGACAAAAATAGTCCTGTGGATCCCATGCAGAAAAGTATTGTTGGTTTTTTGTCTGGTGAGGGTGCTAATTTTAGTGCTATGCCCTCCAAGAAACAAGATTGTTTAGAAACTAGTGATAAGATTGAGGATCAGGAAGGTCCTGATTTTAGTGAGGGTCATTCTATGCAATATGTGGAATTTGATTCTACAGCTGATGATGATCACACTGTAACTAGAAAAGATGATAGATTTTCTCTTTTATGTGAATCTCATGGTTCTGACTCCAGCAGCATTGCGAAGAAATTTAAGATCAATGATTCATACTTGGTTGAGGTATGTTATTTAACTTGAATTTTGTCTGTAACGCTTCTTCTATTGTTATCATTTGTTTTACCCTCTTTATTCTGATTAGTTTATTCCTACTTGGCTTGCTTGGAAGACTAGAGTTCTAACATAATTGACTAATAAGCTGACCTGAATACCATACTATAGTCTAGCTGCCTTCCGCATTGAATCTTTTCTGTTATAGTTTCTATGTTTTTTAACATAATGAGTTACAGGTGATTTTTGATTCTACAAGTCATATAATTACATTCTTTTGTAACCAAGATCTTTTAACCTATCACATATAAAATGCATTATTTAATTCTTTTTGGATTCGTCGGTGTAGGGTTTCTGTTGCCATTTGTAAATCATTGCGTCAGTTCTTACAACTTGAGTTGATCCTACTTTGAAGTTAATTGCTATGTGGAAGTTTGCATTCTACTTTAAAACCTCTTAAGCATATGGTTACATCTATTATTTAGTTCATGATCCGGTAACTTGAGGCCACGATTTATTTAGGGTGTGTTTGTTTCGATTGTGACTGTACGAAATCTCAGTTCAAAAGCTGTTGTAGAAAATCTGTTGTTTAGAAGTTATGTTTCAAAAATAGTTAGTCTATTTGAAAAATACAGTTTTAAAAGTATTGTCTGTGGACTAATGTCTGTAACACCCCTCAATATATATTATGTAGATATTATAGGTATTTTCAATGTGTGTAATTTTTTTTTAACTGTTACCCAACAACAACAACAACAACAACAACAAAGCCTTAATCCCACTATGTGGGGTCGGCTACATGAATCCTTTTTCTCCATTGCGTCCTATTTAGTGTCATATTTTCATTTAGTTCTAGTAAATTAAGATCATTTTTAATACAATAAGCCCAAGTCTTCCTAGGTCTACCTCTGCCTTTCTTAACACAAGTCGAATTTAAAACATCTACTCTCCTAATCGGATCATCTAATGGTCGACGTTTAATATGACCAAACCATCTAAG